GGACGTCAGTTTCACAGCCTTTGCAACCTTATCGTAGAGATGAGCCAGCAGTAAGGCGGAGGACAGTTCTAGACGAGGTATGGTCATCAATTTACGTTTCTTTTTCTGTTGGTCGAGCGGGGCAACTCTGGACTTAGAAGTCAATAAATGTGCGGAGATTCTACCGTCGGAATGCGTTACACGTACATAAATGCAAGCACCGTAAGCCACCTTTGATGCATCACAAAAGCCATGTAACTGAACAGCAATGCAGTTGGATCGAAACTCTACCCATCGAGGCACCGTCAGTCTGTCTAATTGCGCCAAGTCTTTCCGGAATTCTTGCCACCGGGATTGATCATTTTCGACGAGCGGTTCGTCCCATGAAACCTTCTGCTTCCAGAGGTTCTGGACGAAGATTCGTGCTGTTATAACGATCGGTCCAATCAGGCCAATTGGGTCGAAAATACGGGCTAAATCAGAAATCACAGATCGTTTACAAATAGCAGAGAGATTCCACGTTGGAACCTTGAATTTGAAATTGTCCGATCGTGGTTCCCAGATGAGTCCCAAGGTTTTGATTGAGGCGGTTGAATCATCCAACTCGAACAACGTACGGTCATCTTTGAATTCTGGTGGAATTTGCTGCAGGATCGCTGGACAATTAGTGCTCCATTTTCGAAGAGTGAAGCCTCCTCCTTGAAGCAGGTGCTGGATATCATTACAGAGCTGGATGCCCTCTTCTATGGTATCTACTCCGGACATCATGTCGTCGACGTAAAAATCTTCACTAAGTACCTTAGCAGCGGCTGGGAAGCTGGATCCGTCTAGTTCAGCGAGTCTTTTCAGGCATTTTGTAGCGAGATACGGAGCAGAAGCTGTCCCGTATGTCACCGTACAGAGCTTAAAGATGCGTATTGGACCATCCTTGCTGTCTCTCCAAATTATCAAATGTAGTTTTTGATCTTCAGAGCACAATAGGACCATACGATACATTTTTTCAATGTCTGCAACTACTGCATATCTATGTAACCTGAAGCGAAGGATTATGGAATTCAGGTCGTCCTGCATAGTAGGTCCAACCATTAATGCGTCGTTGAGAGAAATTCCGGAGGATGTTCGACATGATGCGTCAAAAACTACACGTAATTTAGTTGTTGTGCTCTCAGGTTTAATAACACAGTGATGAGGAATATAGTAGTGACGTGTATGTGGTGCCATTTCATTATCGTCCATCTCCATCATATGTCCCAGCCGAAGGTATTCTGCTATAAATTCGGCGTACATATCCTTAAGTGCCGGATTGGCATCAAGACGTCTTTCCAAGGCCAGGAACCTCCTTAGAGCTGTCGTACGAGAATCTCCTAGTTGCTCGATGAGCTGCTTCTTCTTGGGCAAAGTTACAATAAACCTTCCATTGGTATCCCGAACGGTGGTACGATCGAATATGTGTTCACAAGCCGATTCTTCGAGCGAATATGTGCTTTTGGAGTGACATTCCTCTAATTCCCAAAATCTCGTCAATAGTTCATCTATACGTTCCATGGATAGATTGGCTACTGCTGGTCGAGGTAGACCAGCCTCTTCGGACATCCTCCCACAAATAATCCATCCTAGCGATGTGTTCCGTATTACTGGACCATCCTCACTAAGTTTCATGCTCTCCGGCGATAATAAGTCAAAGAATAGACTGGCACCGATGATCATGTCAACAGCATTGGGCTCATGGAACGTTGGGTCCGCAAGTACGACGTCATTGGGCAGGTTCAAGCTACTGGTGTTGATTTTTGTTGCTGGCAGATTTAGTGTTACTTGCGGCAACACATAGAATGTCTCCTCCTGTACGAAATGTGAAACTCGAGAGCGAATTCGAGCGGTAACAGACTGCTTACATTTCTTCGTCGCTTGGCCGATGCCACTTATCGACAACATTTCTCGTGATCTCTTAAAATTAAGCTTCTGAGAGAGACTCTCAGTTATGAAGCATAACTGTGATCCACTATCAAGCAGAGCTCGTGCGAGAGTAAAGTTTCCGCATTTGTCTTCAAGAATCACGATCGCAGTTGCTAGCAAAACGGAACGTGATGCCTTGGTTTCGTTAGCAGAAAGTACAACACTGAGACTAGCTAGGTTGTCTGTTTGAGGTGGCATGTTTTGTGAACTTGTGGAAGCGATTGATGGAAAGGATTGGCTCGTGGAGGGATGAAAGGTTTGCTGAGGAGTATGAGTGTTTGGATTTTTAGATTCTGATTCTGAGGGTGTTGACAATGGTGTTTGTAAGTTTGGTGGGTTCTGCGGTCGCTTGTTCGATTGCGGGTCAGATTGATTATTAGGAAATTTGTGTGGACTTACGTGCAGCAGTGAATGATGACGTTGACCGCAGAGCTTACAGGAACTTCTCGAACAGGATTTGGACATGTGACCTCGCGAAAGGCAGTTAAAACACAACCGCTTTGTTGCGACTACATTTCTCCGTTCGTCTACCTTCATAATCTTGAACTTCTTGCACTGGAAGACTGGATGTTGAGATTCTCCACAAAACGGGCAACTGTTTAAGTTACTCTGAATACCAGCGTGACTAGCGAATGGCCTTGAAGGCTTCTTCGTATCCGGAGGAAGGAAGATCTTCCCAGATACAGATTGTAGCACCATACAATGGTTTTTGAGGAAATCCACCAACCTTTTATATTCAGGGACGTCTCTCGATCGATGTTCCGTTTCCCAGAGGCGTATTGTAGTTGAATCCAGCTTACTCGACAATAGATGAGCCAAGATAGTACTCCAGTTGGCTGTTTCTTCACCCAATTTGTCAAGCATCTGCAAGTGCTTGTCGAATTCACTGATGACAAAATTCAAGGCCTCGAAGCTCTCCTTTTTCATAGGATTGATGGATAGCAGTGAGTCTAGATGCGATTTAACCAGCAGTTTCCGATTTTCGTATCTTAACTCCAACGACTTCCAGGCTATTGAGTAGTTTGCAGCCGTCAGATCAATGGATGCAATTTCTTGCAAAGCTTCGCCTGATAAGGATGTACGTAAGTATGTAAACTTATCGATATCAGACAATTGAGTGTTGTCTGAAATCAAGTTTTTGAACGTGTCTCTGAACGTAATCCACTCTCTCATATCACCACTGAAAGATGGTAACTTAAGCTCAGGTAGTTTAACACGCATGCCAATTGGAGCAGCCTGTTGGCATTGGGAATGAACTGCAGGAACCATCGATGAACCTGGCTGCGCTGTGGAAAGGAGTGCTTGGAGTGTTTGCTTGATGGAAAAGTATTCATCGATGAAATTCTTCATAATTTGTTCATTTTCGCGGTCCCTTTGCAGCTGCTGGTCCTTCAGTCTTCTTGCACGTACTGCTTCGGTTTCATCGGTGTCGGCAAAATCGTCGTCTTCAGCTGCGTCTTCCAAAAGAATCTCCGTTTTCATGCGAACATCACGAAACTCGTCGTAGATTTCGTCTAACTTCTGCATCCTGGTTTGTACTGATCCTTTGTCTCGTGATTCATCGTACCTTCGAACAAACTCCTTCAGGACGTCCAACACTTGTCGTAGTTGACGCTCCTGCTTGCCAAGTTCACGAAGAGTTGGCATTTTTTGTCTTCACTTGCACTATTTGCAGCCAGACAGCTAACCGAACCGCGCGACCGAGTATCGTATCGAACCCACCGATTGACAGGGATAGAATCACACCAAACAGAATTGGCCAATCAACCACAGGAGAAACAACTCAACTCAGCAGACTAATAAACCTTTTTTTTCATATCATCGAATTGAAACGTACGACATGCGTTTTAAATCTTTATTTCATCGCTTCAATAGGAAAATCAGTTGAACGAAATCATCTCTTTGTCATATATGCACAATGGGTTGCTTTGAACATGCTTTCAGAGCACACCTCAGACAAACCTGCTTTCAGTGTACTTATCTGAATTTCTGCGTAGTAGCCCAAACGGTAATCGGCCAGCATGCAGCATACAGCAAACAGCAAGTAGTTCCCAACGGCGGCAGCATCAACAGCAATGGTGAAACATCGGAACCGATGGAACATGGACAGCAACAACAGCAGCAGTGAAACCTCAGCAATGGCGTAGCAACGAAATTGAATAGCGGCAGTGGTGATCACTTTCACTATTGTTCGGAACAGCATTCATGCAGCTGTATTCTTCTTTCTTCAGAACCACACATCATCCGGTTCGAAGGACCAATGTAACATCTTCGATTTTCACGGGTTCAATAGGTCACTCTCACTTTAATCACATTCGTTGTGATCTAATCACAGTGGTAATTATCTTCGAGATAATTGCTTCCTGTCCACGAACCGCACTATCAACGTCACAGTCCCTTCTTCGTAGAGTAAGAACACGGTACTTGTGAGGTTCAAAAAACAACTGTTCTTGGCAATGGTTTATTTCCGACTAGCTTTGCATGCGAAATTGATTCCCTTTGAACTCTTATCTTCTCTATCTAAATCTCTTATCTCTCCTCTCACGATATCTGCGGGAGCAGATCACCGTTGCAGAGTGGGCCGACAAATGAAATTGTTGATGCAAATTTATAACTGTTATACTCTACTTTACAATCGCCATTAGTTCAATGCTTCTATCACAATGAAAAGGTCTTATAATCAATTGTTGTTGCTGATTCCAATTCCATCTTGATTTTATTAATTATTCTTAACGACACACTTACGTAGAACTGTACAATGAAAACATCGCGATGTAATTAAATGTTATATAAAGTATTGAGAAGTAAAGTGATTTGCAATGAATAATTTAATTTGGTTAATTACAGCGGAATATTTCTTATACCGCTTAGACCCTTTTGGTATGTAAGGGCAGTAGGCTAGAAAAAGCTCGTCATCGAGTTTGTCATTTGACAGCTGTTTATTTATGGTCGACCAACACTCCACATATTCTCCGTTTTTTGTTTGTTGTCCTAATTGATGTCGCGTAAGTAAATTGCATTTAAGTGTATTATTCGATGACTTTTTAAAAGATTTAGTCGTTTTCAGGATGCCATTCAAAATTATTCAAACGATCGAAGCCGGGGAAATTTGCCTTAGTGTTGTACCTAGTGGCTGGGAAGCCAATGGGATCTTGCGGTGGCCGAAAAAGCACCTGGTAGGAAAATTGTCCCAGATCGAAACATCCACTGCAGATGATAAATGGGAAAAGATGAACTGTGTCAGGAAAAGGGAATTTAAGACACGTAAGGAACCTGATGATGAACTTGATCGGATGGAAACACGACATGATACCGAAGTGGAAGATATTCCACTGGCACCTCCAAAGAAGCGTGTGCGTCGTGAGCCCTCAAGGAAAGTATTTGCAGCGAAAGACTTTAACAACCTCTTAGACACTCAAGAAGAATTTGAAGCGGAAAGCAACGCTGAATCCAATCCTGTCAACAATGCATGTGTGAGTATTTCAATCTAGTAGTTTCTTTTATTAAGAATTGAGAAATATTCATAATTCCAATCGTAGATTACAGCTCCTGTGAATGATCAACAGCTGCTCTATGTCACGGAGAACGTTCACACGGAGGGAATAGCAGAACACAATGAATCATCCCAAATCTTCTTACTGACTGGTGACGATGGAATTAACAATAGAAACTTGGAAACTGTACTGGTAAATCAACGTACTATTCTGGAAAATCAGTCGAAAATCATGCAAGCCCTAGCGAAGATTCAAACCGGACAGGAATACGCTATGACTCATTGCCATTACAGTGCGTCCCAAAATAATGCTATTTTGGCTAAACGGCATGTTCAGCATGTATTGTCCCCAGCCGATTCGGTGGATGAACTGGAAGCTTTGGAAAGGTCTTTGGAGGATGAAACACTGATGCAGCAATTTTCAAGTGGAATGAGTTACATATGCGGCGTCACTGGCAAAGCTCAAGGAACGGATGGTTGTTACAAGTTAATTGATTACTTTTTCACCCGAAAGTTTCTCACTCAATGCTCATGGACAGGAACGATGCGACAGGCTGATAGAAATTCACAGCAGGAGCCGTCAACTTGTGGAGTTGCTACGACAAAGGTACCATTGAAATTCTTCAAAAACACACGTGCGCTGTTTCTGAATTTGATTGTACAAGCTGACAATCAGTTTTCGGAGCTTTATTGCGACAAATTCTTCAAAACGATCCTTAAGAACAGTAAGCAGCGACTCTCCTCAAAGTTCCTGACGTCGAAGCATAAGAACAGGCCTACAAAAATGAAGTACAACAAATCCGGGGCTGGTTCTGGACCAACGTATGCTTCTGAGATTAATCAGTCAAACAATATTCCTAATGCGAATACCACAGAGTCACATGAACCATCCTATAAGTAGAAATCGAATGTACAATGTAATTATACAATGAATGGTTTAACATAAACGTTATGATGGATTTAATTTACCGTATTCAAAAATAATATTCAACTTACATAATAATCACTTTTAATGTATTGTGTGGAGCAGTGGTATGAATACCATCCCTACATTTCTGTTCGGTATAAGTATTGCTACCATCTTACATTTTATGTCGAATAGTGTGTATTGTGTTTTTGCAGCTTGTTCACTACTGGAATAAAAGACGTGTTAATGGCTTAATTTTATAGGTGTTGCAAAATAATCGCTGGTGTGCTTTAGTGGACTACCCGAAATTAAGATATTCCCATTTTGTTGAGAAGCGTGATCGAAACAAACCACCTGATTATTTTTAGAAAGAAACCACTTATTGGCCGCATTGTTATCTAATGAATATGCTTCGAATTCAACTTTAGCAAACTTATCATCAGAATCAGGTGTACGAATTTGTTTTTTCAACGTTGGAGTTGCATGAACTGTGTTACATGGTTTGCAATTTTCTTCAAGCTGATTTAGTTCGCTTATTCGCTTTGCCGCCTGAGCTAGGGGTTCATGTCCACTTCGAATTAAATTTTTAATCTGATATAGTTTACTCTCGAAAGGGTACGCACTAAAACTTGGCAGGATACCGAAACGATTAACATCTTCTATAAGATGACAGATTATGAGCGTTACTTGTCATGTAATCTTCTCCATATATATCAACATACCGTTCAATGTAATGTTGCAGCAACGATTCTGCTAGGTCAATGAGATGAGAATGAGAATCGGTTGAGCAAATAGTTATGGCACAAAAAAAGACCAAAAAATGTTCGTATACGTCTTCTGGTAAAAAAATGTTTCAAAACTACTATACCTATATAATACAAAAATGTACGAAACTCTGTACCCTTCCAATGATTTAAACAGTCGAGACCTCTCATGCTCCTATGTATCTCAGATGGTAGCTTTAGTTGTGTCAAGTATTTTGTGATATCTGAAGCATGCTGGGCTGACCATTTTGTTCTGAAATTTCCGAATTTGCCATCTCTCCATCCAATTAGACATTTCTTCATGATCCCTAGATCGATCAAATGGAGTGAATCGCCTATTGGAAAATCAGCTATCATGTCAATTGGTAGACGAAGTAATGGTGTGTCCATTTTATGATATGATCCGTAAGATTTGGTTCGGAACTCAGCATCCGTTCTTCTTCTACTATTGGACAAAGGAAAATAATTACAGTGTGACAAATATGAATACTCCCCAGTAGCTGTACACTTTTGGCAACCATTTTGCGCGTTGAAATATGCTACACCTGGAATGATGATAGTTATTAATATTGTACATGATACATGTTATCTATTTAATTTTTACCTTTAATAAAAGATCTTGCAGGTGAGTCGCATATAAAACATCGTAGTTTAACTGATATTTTGTGATGGTTGATAATTATGCCATTATTTAAAATGTCATTCATTTCATTGACGAATTGGTCGAGAAAAGTATTTAAATCACTTGGCTTACTTTTTCCACAATAAATACCTATCACCATTGGTTTGATGTGAGGCATTTCATGGATATTGAAGAGAATCGGCCAGAACTCATCCTTAGAACTTCTATAAACTGGCAAACCGTCTATGTTGATATTGATAGTTATGGTACTTGATTCATTTATGTTAGCAAAAAGAGTTTTTAAGCATTGTTCAAGACCATGGTGCCAATATTGATCATCTCCTACGGACTGAATGGACACAGTCTTCGCAGTTTGTATTAATGTTCTAGGGTCTTTCGGCAAAACATTTGGTAGGCGATCGTTGATGATTGTTATGCGGTCCCTCAACGCATTTTGCTTGACATTGTGGGATATCGACCAACTCCTGAGTGCTGCTAATAGTGCTTCATTCTTACTGTCTTCTTCATCTTCGTCTTCCGAAAGTGTCGGATCAGGCTGCCATACCCCGTCTTCCGAAAGTGGCCACTCTTCATAGGGTATCTTAGGTTGACATGTTTCGTTATCATCTTTTTCCTTCGCTTCGTTTTCCGGGGCATCGGAGGGAATGTTCTCTGGCTTTGTTTCCTTGTGACTTTGTATACCTATTCGTACCCGTTCGTCTTGTTTTGAAGTCGATGCTTGCTGAGATGAAGTGAAGATGAGTGTTCAATATATTGAATAGGTTTTTACTCAATTTCCGTTTGTAAGATCCACTATTTTTCAATTTTTTCCACCTGTTGGCGTCCATTAGTTGTGACAGCTTGTTTATGTATTTCAGGGAACTCTTTCTCAAGAGTGTTTACTCTCGGTTAAAACCTTTTGGTTTTAAGAAAGTTTTATGCCAGCATTCTCAAGATACATTAAACTTATAGAAGAATGACATAAAACTTTTTCAAAACCGATCTCAAGTTTTATGAAAGCTTAAAAATAAGGCTTGAAAGGGAGTTGAAGTGTCTCTTAAAACTGTTCATAAGGTCAATTAAACCTATAAAAGATGGAGTTTTATGGAGGCTTCTACAAGTATTCTTGAAACACTCTTCAAAAATATCAATGATATGAGACTAAGTTTACTTGAAAAAAGCAATGATAAAACCACATAGACTCAGTCATGCTTTGATAAAACCACCATAAAACATGAATAAAACCAATTAACATTTGGATTGTTACTTGGGATAGATGCGTTAAGCTGTTAAGTGAACTTCCCGTGCATTTCTAGTAGTAGTAGTAGCAAAATTACGTTTATTTCCTGAATTTTGATTTTACATTATTTTAACATTTTAATTGATTAGCCTATCAACGAAGACAACAAATCAAGAAGACTGGCAACTTTGCCAGAATCCAAGCGACATATACAGTAGCGCTGCATTTGAGTGAAGGTAGAAGCAACGCATAGAAAAATGAGCAAATACACAAACCCTTCTTCTGAGGTTGTAATCTTTGCTATCAAATTCGTTCGAAGCATTTACCTTTGAGTGGCAGATGACGCGATTGTACCTGTCTCATAGCGTTTGTACACTCAAAAATATTACTAAAATAAGAAAGATTAAAATTTAGTCATTTTATGCATAACCAATGTTTATACATTGATTCGATTATTTTATTTTATCAAAATTATACTACGTCCGATTACTGGCGAAGAATTCGATCAGTGCATACCGCTGACAGCAAAGCTGTGCAAGAATTAAAAGTACTGAAGGACGAAAACTGTTTTGGAAAGACTCCATTATCGTTCCAGCCCTCTCGTCGAGCTTCACACGCTGCAGGATATGTTGAAAATCAAGAATAGGAATTCCTGTCCTCGTCTTTATCCATAGTTCACCAAGGAGTAAACAAAGCTTTAGTAAGTATTGAAGAATTGAATCAGTTAAGATTTGAGAAGAATATTTGAATAATAATTTTGTTTTTAGCTTCAAGCAACGTTGGCAAGCAAATGAGCCCAAGTACCACAATCTCCAAAATTCAATTGCACCATGTTTGCAAGCTTAGGACTTTCGTGGCACCGAATGAAGATGACCGGTTTTAAAACGGTGAAGAACTGCTGGTAGGGTGAATTTGAACAGTTTCGCTTGCCAAGTGCCAACTCTAAACTAGATCCAAACATCCTCTCTTTCCAGGCCGGTTACAACGCCAAAAAATATGAACCTGAATCCGATCACTCGCTAGCGCCATTTGGTTTGCACCATCACGGTCAATTTCTTCCGCATGTTGGACCCTAGGAGGCTAACTATAAAGACACTCCGAACTTGAACGAAACTGGCGCGGATTGATATCAGACCGGTTGAACAGTTTCGGAAACGTGAGACTACAGTTTTGAAATCGCCATAGGCCAAGAGATTGTTTGCCCCGTTGATGGATGTGCAGTGTAGATTTTGCTAGGAGACTCGGCTGTCCTGTCAATATCAATCTTATGGAAACGACCAACACGAGGAATCACCGGATAGCAGCTGATCCAAGTTGCCACATCTCTAACAATGCCCACGGAAACTACATAGATAACATTTTGGATACCCACTATTGCACTTATTTATCGGTTAGAATTTTCTGCATATCATTATTAATTAATCCAGTTTATGTTATATGATTTATTGTGATAAATAATAATTGACAATAAATTTGCTCCTGTAACATTATTATTATGTTTAAAATTAATAACATTGGAAATATCCCTGACCAGCACATAAAAATACTATTCATGGAATAAATCCCGTTTATGCACCATTTGAATATTCGCACTTTATACATTTGACTGCATAAAGTATTTTTATACTAAGTCAGTTTTCTCTCCCTTTATACCAATCTATGCGTCGGTCAGGAGAGTTGCGATTTAGCGTAACTTTTAATCTATTTAGATTTGAAAATCTTTTGAGTGTATGAGAAAATGGAAGAGTTGCCAGTCTTCTTGATTTGTTGTCTTCGCTACCCCTTGAGATGTATCACAGGAGTGGAACTTCGGATCAGAAAGTGGCTCCACTTGTCATTTGCGAACACTAGCGCACCTAGCGATAGAAGGCATCTTCTGCCTGCAGTTAAGATAGGCAGCATCCTATGTTAGTGTGAGTGCACATAGAAAGCCCGTGTGGAACGCTACCACAGTACATCGCTTGGTGAGCAGAAAAACGAACCACCTTTTGATTCACCGATTTGTTTGCACTTCCCCTTCTGTTCTGTGGATGTATGTTATGTTTGAATTGAAAAAAAGTGATAACCTACCTAACTACGAGTATAACTTAACCTAACATGCTAGATCAGACCTCAGACAGGTGTCTTTGAATCTTTCCAGGATAAAAACTCTCCGTTCTTCTAATGTCTGAATTCCAGAATTCTCAGAATTTCTAGTTCGCGGGGGACTGTTTAGGATCGTCCTAAGGATGGTTGTAGGAGAATTATGCTATGTAACGGCTTGCTATGCCCC